TATTTAACGACAGAATTCTCAAGGAACAATACTCTAGACGAGCTTCCGGGAGGCCCAACACTGAGTCGGATTCCGGTTCCAGTGCCGATGTATCGAATGAAGAGGTTGATAAGTACATCCAAATGGTGAAACAGCAGCAGCAAAGGGGGTTGCTGGAGTTGAAAAAGGGTCATATGCTTAGAAAAGGCGGTTCCAATAACGGTGACGCTAATTTCAGTTACAAAGTTGATCCGTTTACTCTTGAAGAAGGTGATTATGTTGTGCATAAGAAAGTTGGCATAGGTCGTTTTATATCGATCAGACCAAGCATCCCGGATGGCGAAACTACCCCAATTGACTACGTTTACATTCAGTATGCTGATGGAGTGGCTAAACTTCCTGTTAAGCAAGCCTCTAGATTCCTCTATCGCTATAATCTGTATGTATATACTTCTTTAACTTGATTATTAACTCAAATTTACATACGCTGTCATCTATTTCCAAACTTTGTTTTCCTTATGGCACTGGAACTGAGTCCTAAATAATATGGTGTGGGATGCTTTTTTGCAGTCCAAATGAAAGTTCAGCACCTCGAGGTCTGGGCAGATTGAAGGACACAAGTATTTGGGAAAAGAGGAAGATCAAAGGGAAGGTTGCAATTCAGAAAATGGTTGTTGATTTGATGGAGGTGTATTTAAACAGGCTAAGACTGAGGAGACCCCCATACCCCAAGAACCCTGCCATGGCCGAGTTTGCTTCTCAATTTCCCCATAATCCCACTCCTGATCAGTTACAGGCCTTTATTGATGTTGAAAAGGATTTGACAGAGAGAGAAACTCCAATGGATCGATTGATCTGTGGAGATGTTGGGTTTGGCAAGACTGAAGTTGCTCAACGTGCCCTCTTTTATGTGGTTTCATCAGGAAAGCAGGCAATGGTATTAGCACCAACCATTGTTTTGGCTAAACAGCATTTTAGTGTTATATCAGAGAGATTTTCCAATTACCCCAACATCAGGGTTGGGCTCATGAGCAGATTTCAGGTGAAAATAATATTTCTTCTTTTCTCTTTTAAATTACACCATTTTTACGGTTTAATATGGTGGAAACAGCTTCATGATATTCTCTGTATAAGATATACCGGCATTGCAACGAACCTAACCTTTTACAGCATGCAGACTGCATCAGAAAGAGAGGATTATTTTCACATGATCAGAAATGGGGAACTGGATATTATTATTGGAACCCACTCGCTTCTTGGAAGTCGTGTCTCATATGATAGATTAGGTCTTCTTATAGTTGATGAAGAACAGGTTTACCTCCTTTTCCATTTACCAATCTTTGATAATCATCCTTACCCTTTGATTTTTTGATATGAAGGGATGCCTGATTTTGTGGTATACAGAGGTTTGGTGTCAAACAGAAGGAGATGATTGCTTCAATGAAAACTTCAGTTGATGTTCTTACTCTTTCTGCAACTCCTATACCAAGAACCCTATATTTAGCATTAACTGGATTTCGTGATTGCAGGTAACATCATATAAAATTGATCCTATTCAGCATATTTCTGAAATCAATAAAGATCAAATTTTTCTGTAACCCTTTTTTTTCTCTCAGTTTGATCTCAACAGCACCTCCTCAAAGAGTTCCTATAAAAACTCATCTTTCAGAGTATAGTGAGGCAAAAGTTATATCAGCAATCCAGTTTGAACTCGATCGTGGAGGCCAGGTTTTCTATGTTTTACCACGTATTCAAGGTAACAAATGGTTTGATCTTTTTTTTTTTTTTTACTATTTCAAGACAAAGCAATTACTTCACTTCAGCTCATTGATTATCATCCACAGGTCTTGAAGAGGTTCTGGCATTTCTTGAGAAGTCATTTCCAGATGTTGAAGTTGCCCTTGCTCATGGACAGGTAAACATTTTGCTGTTATGCTTTGTAGTACACCAATTGCAAAACAAATCAAATAATATAACCATTTAAATTTATATGCAGCTATATTCGAAACGATTGGAGAAAACCATGACAAGATTTGTGGAAGGAGAAATCAGAATTCTAGTTTCCACAAATATTGTAGAGAGTGGGCTTGACATTCAAAATGCTAACACCATCATAATCCAAGACTTTCAGCAATTTGGGCTTGCACAGCTCTATCAGGTTCATTCCTCACCATCACTATGTGTTTCCTTTTATTCCTAATAAGTGTTGTCTGGATAAATGATGTTCACAAAATGATGGCATACTTGGTGAAATGAAAGGAAAAAGAAACGAGGGCAAATGTGTAAATTGTGCATTTGATTAGTTTGTTTGATCATTTATGTTTTTGTTTGTTTAGTTTGTGCAACCTCTCTATCCATACATGACTTAATAGGACACTAGAGTATTTTGTCATTACCGGTTGATATAGACATATAGTTGACTGTTTCTAGTCATTATGTATGTGACAGAATATATCTGTCTAATCTTTTTCTTATTTGATAACTTTGTTGGTATAGTTACGTGGAAGGGTAGGAAGGTCAAATAAGGAGGCTCATGCTCATCTATTCTACCCCAACAAGTTGTTGCTTACTCCAGCAGCAAAGGTACATGGTCTTCTCTTCCTTGGTGAACATAACTAATAATTCTGTATACAAAGTTGTTAATTCTGCATTTTATGATCTCTAAATGGTAAATATTACTAAATAAATACAATCTTTTACAACACTTCAGAAAAGGCTTGAAGCTCTTGAAGAATGTGGTGACCTTGGTCAAGGGTTGCAACTTGCAGAGAGAGACATGACTATTAGGGGATTTGGTAATATTTTTGGTGTGCAACAAACAGGAGATATTGGAAATGTAGGCATTGATCTCTTCTTTGAAATGCTTTTCGAGAGCTTATCCATGGTATTGTGTTTCTGCCTTCACTCCTGTCTTTGTGTATTTTACCGTTTTGTCCCTGTTGACTTAATTTCAGAGTTTTTCTTTTGTCCAAAACCAGGTTGATGTGCATCGAACTCATCCGGTTTCTTTCAAATCCGTCAAGGTATTTTATTTTTATCCCTAAAAACGAAATAGCAACATACTTTTATTTATTTGTTTACTTAAGTGGACCATGTCTTACTTACTATTACAACATTGTACTTTGAAAATCTACCTAATTATAAGAATGTGATCCAAACACAAACACAAACACAAAGCAATTTTCACTCCTATAATTGGGTGCCCTGGTTAGAAAATACCATTTAGGCATATCTGAATGGGCATTTATAATTTTCAGGGTAAAAGCAGTCTAATTATCTGTTGTATGTTGTTTTTATTATGTCAGCTTGAATTGGACATAAACCCTCGTCTGTCATCGGAGTATATAAATTATCTGGACAATCCTATAGAAGTAGTGAAGGATGCAGAAAAGGCTGCAGAAAAGGACACGTGGAGTTTGGTACAGTTTACAGTGGATCTCAGGAGGCAATATGGAAAAGAGCCTTACGCCATGGAATCTTTACTGAAAAAACTTTATGTGAAAAGAATGGCAGCAGATATAGGAATCACTAGAATCTATGTTAATGGAAAAACCGTGGTAATGATGACAAACATGAACCAACAAGTATTCAAGATGATCACAGACGCCATGTTTTCCGACACTCACCGCAACATGCTTGCTTTTCAAGCAGGCCAAATTAAGGTACAAAAACAAAACACTCCTTTCCTTTCGCTCCACTATATTTGTTAGATTCAAGGAGGGCATTTACGTCTTTTGCACAAACCAAAGATCCAGAGCGTGCGTGTCTCTGTTCCACTTCCACTTTTTGGGTTGGACTGTCACAGTCACAGTCACATATAGTCACGGTCATATCACACAGTCAGAGTCCAATGCATGTCAAACACAGTATAAGGTTGTGATGTTTTGTGTTGTTTTATAGGCGGAATTACTTATTGATCTACCAAAGGACCAGCTTCTTACTTGGATATTCCAGTTGTTAGCCGAACTTCATTCTGCATTACCAGCCCTTATAAGATACTAAATGGAGGCTTCACGTTCACGGAGTGTAATCTGGATGGTCCATAAGGAACCGAACCGAATCGGGCATAAACTAACCGAACCGAACCTGACGGTTTCTGTTGTGTAGATGAAACCTGAACCCAAACATTAACAATGCATGCTCATGCTGATGATGATGCTGATGCTGATGCATGCTAGTGATAGGGTGTATGCACACAGGACATGCCACATTTGGGATTGGGTCATGTTTACGTGAATATATGGAATATGTTTTGTAACTAATTAGCTCAACTGTTGGCTTATTGTAATTATCATCATAGATTTTATTATTTATGGAATTTTAGGAGCCTTATTATTTATGTGAAGTAATATGCAAAATGTTGTTTGATTAGGGTATAATCCAACTCCAAGTTGTTAATTTGAGCTTATGATATAGTTATCATCGACTACCAAAAAAGCATATTCTATCTTATATTTCTTTGGAGAATTACAAAATGGTGGTTTTGCAAAAATTTAAGGAATGTTTAGTTTATGCATAAAAGACAAATTTACCTCCCCTTATCGAGGGAGACCTTCATAACCATATAACCATGGACATCTACATCTCCTATCTCATTGCAATAAGATGTTTTGGGTCGTTAGCATAATGTGTATTCAGTTAAGACGAATTTCTCATACTATCTAATCTATTCTGAAACTGCATCATTCATTAAAAGGGTTTGAATTACTTGAATTGAAGAACACCGTGTCAACATCAAATACCACTGCTAGATACCATTGCCCGTATAAGTAAGATAGTTATAACTTATAACTCTAAAAATAGCAATTAAAATTTTCGCTTCAAATTGAAACAATTTAATTTATAGCCCCTAGGTAATGAAGAAAGTCAATTAAGAAAATAGGAAGAGTAGTCAATCGAGTTTGACAATGTGGGGCTAATTTAGTAATTTTAGCCCTAAAGGGGACGAATTGTTGTTGTTGAGGTCGCCGACGGCTGCGTTGGGAAACCACGTGCGCCTTGCAAAAGGCAAAAGCCACCCAATGCGACCAAAGACATCGTTTACCCATCGACATTCGACACAAAGACCAGCCTTACCCCTGGTCTAAAACACCTCCTCTCTCTTTCAATTTCAATTTCAATTCAAATTCTTGTTTGATTCGCATCCTTGTTTCCCCGAAAATATTAATTTTGTTGGGTCGTCCTTCATATTCAAATCTTGGAGGTGTATAATTGATCATCTATTCGTGCTAAAATTGAAAATACTACCTGTAAACAAATTCCCAGATTTGGTTTATCCTTGATCCCGGAAGATCGTGTTCGACGTTAGCAGATTGGTTTCCAGCAAGCTGTCTTCTTGTTTTCTCACACCTGAGGTAACGTAATCTTCCCTGCAGGCAACTCTCATTTTGACTTCTCTTTGTTTCTTACATTTACCCGACTCATTTTCTTGGATTTGACCTGGGATCTGTAATTTTCTTCGATTTCAAGCCGATACAGTTACCTACCCTTTCAATTTCCTAAATCGATAGTCATTTTCTAGACAAATTATATCATCCCTAAAGCTGTTAGATTGTTGTATATTAACATGGGATCTGATACGAATGCGATCATATTTGTTTCTTTTCTATTCTCTTTCAATCGATCAACTAATTTTCTTTTGCTTTCCCTAAATCCGCTTTTTTGTTCCTTTGGAGGTAAACGCGTTGTTACTTGATTATTAGTCGTTTAGTTGACCCCATCAAGGGTTTTGGCTTTGGTTTTCATCAAGACTACTAGTGTCACGGCTATCATACATTCATACTGTTTTTCGTCAATGTTAACACGAATCAACCGCGATATTAGTTACCAAACCTAATATGCTCTAATTGGTTCTGAACTAACATGTTCATCTTGCAGGCGATTCATTTCTCATCCAATTAACACAAAGTGGACTCACCGATGGATGCTAGAGAAAGTGTTCTTGTTGTTCAGTTCCTTCATCTGACTACTACCTCCTGATTATTGGAGATCTCTAGACGCCACTTTCATTGCATTTATTAAAAACAATCACCTCTGTCACATAGACCTTTTTAATCTATGGGCGAGTGGGTGGTTGGAGCTTTTATTAACCTTTTTGGAAGCATTGCAATTAACTTCGGAACTAATCTTCTTAAATTGGGCCATGACGAGGTACTTAATGCTTGTATATACATATTCACAAAATAGGTCATAATAGTAAATGCAATCGTCCTTGTTTCTTATTCTGAATTGTAACTAAAACATTGTAGAGAGAAAGACATGCTCTGCTAGTTGAAGGGATTAATGGAAAGACACTACTGAGGCCTATCATAAGTTTCCAATCTTGGAGAATAGGTAAACTTTAATTTTTCTGCTCTTTTGTGTCTATTCTTTCAAATACATTAAGCTTTTTTTTTTTTCTAAGTATATATCGATCTGTTCACAGGTATTCTATTTTTCGCTTTTGGAAATGCCCTTAACTTTATTTCCTTCGGATATGCTGCTCAGGTATGTGAATTTTGCAGCTTCAAAATCATTTTAAAGTAACATTTTAAATCCAAAATTTGTAATTTAGGTATTCTATTGTCTTGTGTTTTCACAGTCACTTCTTGCAGCATTGGGATCCATACAATTTGTGTCAAATATCGCGTTTGCCTATTTCGTCTTACAGAAAACAGTCACTGTAAAGTATGTTTTTTTGAATCTGCATCTTTTTTTTTTGTTATATGAAGTGAAAACAACTTTTACTAACATTTGTACTTTTTTTTATGCAGAGTATTAGTTGCCACAACTTTTATTGTTCTTGGAAACATCTTCCTTGTTGCTTTTGGCAATCACCAATCACCTGGTATGGTATACCACCACCTTGGTTTTTTACATTTTCTTTTTTTCAAATTCTTATGGTGATTATTAATATTATGTATGTGAATTTTACAGTTTACACACAGGAGCAGTTGGCAGAAAAGTACAGCAACATGACATTTCTTTTTTACTGTCTGCTTTTGGTAGTGGTGGTTCTCATGCATCATTATGTATACAGGTAAGCCCTTCAAATCGAAAGATATTTCCCTAAAAAATCATTTCATTTAATTAATTTGAATTTGATAAATTGGGATGGATTAACATTAAACAGGAGAGGAGAATTGTTGCTTGCTATTCCAGGGAAGGATCTTATGAGATACTGGAAGTTACTGCTTCCTTTTTCATTTGCTGTAGTTTCAGGAGCCATAGGATCATGTTCAGTTCTCTTTGCAAAGTCTCTGTGAGTTTTTTCTTAATGCTACATTGCTATGTTGATGTGATTTCTTGGCTTTAAAATTTGGTAAACTTTGTATAATGAAGGGACTGTTTTTGTATCAGCTCAAATCTTTTAAGATTGTCAATGTCAAGTTCATATCGGTTGGATAGTTGGTTCACATATTCGATTCTTTTATTGTTTCTATGTACAGCTGGATTTTGGGTAATGATTAATAGTAGTATGCACATTCTTTTTCATAATTATTATTAAAAAATTTGGATGATATATATTAACTTGTTTTTATATACCATTTATCTACAGATGGCAAGGTTGAACGAAGGATTATCACAGTTTGATGCCATACTTATTGTCCCCATGTTTCAGATAGCTTGGACATTTTTCTCAATTTGTACTGGATTTGTGTATTTCCAGGAATATCAGGTTCTCTATCTCTCTCTCTCTCATAAGACTTAATGAGGAAAGTCTTTAGGGGCTATTTTTTTTTTCTTCCTCATTTTGTGTTGTATGGGCAAAGTGCAGTAGAATATGGACAGATGTTTTTAATGGAGTAAGTGTTGCATAAACAAAGACTTGCTGAATGAACATTTTATTCTTCTGTCTAGAAGTAATGTTTAGAATAGTTGACTGTTGAGAACAGTTATAAATGGAAATTGTAAATCACTAGGATATAAAATAATTAAAAAAAGTATATGTTCAGGATAACATTGTACTTTTTCATTAATAAATCATCTACAATAGAATATGCTCAAACTAAAAAGACTAGTTTTTTTGTATAAGTAGATATAAAAAGCTTACAACCACAATTAATAATAAAAGTCTACACGTGTTACATGATATTTTGAAGAACATCAAACGACTAGCTGGATTTTTTTTATAGTTGCATAATATTATTTTTACATTTTGAGTATTTCGATTTTTTTTTTTTTTTTTTTTTTTGTTTATCATGAAGATAGGTAGATGAGTATCTATTTTTTTGTTTTCATTTTTCACGTTTATTGGTGTCGTGAAGAATAATTTTAAATCCTTGTAACTTGTTTATATTAACTATATTTTAATCACAAGATAGATGATATATTTATAAAAAAAGAGATGTAGGTCTTAATGTATTAAAGACATCGTCTTCCCACTTAAGCAATTTATCCCATCCGTCTGTTTATGTTAATTCAAAAAGAAAAGAAATACCACTACATATATGTCCATGTCCAAAGCTTAGATTGAATTGTATACTCATTTAAGTCCATTATTAAGTAAAAAACGGCTTATGTTATGTCCCTAACAATTAACATTACTTGTTTGTTTGTATGTGATTAGGTACTTGACGCGTTGAGGACGGCGATGTTTATTCTGGGAATGATTTCAGTATTCATAGGAATTTCATTACTGGCACCCGACGACTCAAAAGGTAATAAACTAATAACCTAATCCATTTACTTTACAATCGCAAGGTCAAAATCGGAAATTCATTTTCTTTTCTTTTTTACAGAAGTGAAGGAAAGTCCCTTATCATCCGTGGCTTCATCACATGTCAACCCTGAAATAGAAAGGTACATGACATTAGTTTGATAAACACACAACACAATCAAATCAAACAAACATCAAGAAGCTAGAGTTATTTCCCAAACATATGTAGTTTTTTTTTTATATAAAGAAAAAAAAAAAAAGGGGAAATAACAGAAAGTCTTGTATGTATTGAAAATGAAAGGTTGTCGAAGCCATGTGAAGAGTCGCAACTGCAAATCAAGGACATGAAGTCGCTGGCAAGAGTAATGGCAACAAAAGCCACAGCAGCCATGGTGAAAGCAAAGGTTTTTGTCCGACTTTTCTTTCCAGATACGGATGGGCATCATCCTCATCGATACAAAAAGATGGAATCCAAATTATTATTTTCGTCTTAAAAATTTCCAATTTTTGGTTTGGGTACAGAGTACATGCACACTGTTGCTTGGTATGGGGGATGATACCATGCATGCTTCATCGGTTCTTGCGATGCCCATGGTTTCCTCAAAAATCACAGGCTTTAGAGGTGTCGGAGGTGACCACCGGTCAAAGTTGTCGTTGAGAAGTCCGTCGGGGTGGGGGAGGATTCCGGTGGAGGACGAAACTGTAAATATGCTGGATACTACTTCAAGTGAGGAGGACTAACTAGTAATTAGTAACTAGCGTTTGTACTTTGTACTTGTAGTAGTGTTAATGGGGAAAAAGGAAGGCGACACTGCCACGTGTTGTATAGCTGTTTGATTTGATTTGATTGAATTGGATTTGGTTGGATTGGATGTATATCTTCTTTGATTCTTAAAATTCTTTTGTTTGTTACTTAAAGTGTATATGTATGGGTTCACTCACCTCTTATTTAAGGGTGAAGTGTCTCTGTGAAGTGTCTACCATCCCCCTAACCTTTAGTCTCTGTGAAGTGTCTCTCAGGTATTGGGAGAACATCATGCCCCTTAGCTCGCATGTATCGGATAAGGGGGGAGCTTACTTCATTTGTTTTCTTTAAGTAACATGACTATCTCTTTCTTTATTCGATTCTTTTCGTCAACTCAACGTCGTCGTCACCTGCAAGATAAGGCCAAAAACTTGACTTTACTAACCAAGCGAGAAAAACCCTTTCTATCTTCTTAGTCAAGCGCGCTAGCTGCAATCAATTATGCATATATCATTCTTTGATTTTGATATTATACAGAGTCTATTTTTGTGCTATTATACAACCATAATTTTTATAATAACTAGAAGAGGACGCGCGGCTCCGCCGCTTTTGGACTATGTCATAGAAGTTAAATATCGGCAAACTTTAAAATATGTATTGAAAGTGTAAATCGCCACAAATAAGGGAGAAAACCGACACCCCCTAAAATTAGATTTCAACAGTGTACAACAAAAAGAAAGAACATTGATGGAGAAAAACCAAAAATGTTGTGGCTATAATGTAAAAGTTGCCAAAGTTGGAAAAATATGGTGACAAAAGTCTAAAGGAGGTTTTTTGTGTTTTTTATGTCAAAATGTAAAAGTTTTGACTGCAAGGTTGAAAAGTGTCAAAGTCACTAAAAATTTATGGCAAAAACATCAAAATATAAAAGATTTGACTGCAAGGACGAAAAGTGTTAAAGTCACTAAAGATTTGTGGCAAAAATCTAAAGGCACAAAAACTTAATCAAAACTTAAAAATGTAAAAGTTTTCACTTCGATGACTAAAAATGTCAAATTCATCAAACATTTGTGGCAAAAACCTAAAGCAAAAAAGATTACTATTCATAAGGTCCCTTGGATTTATGTCAAAATGTAAAAGTTTTGACTGCAAGGTTGAAAAGTGTCAAAGTCACTAAAAATTTATGGCAAAAACATCAAAATATAAAAGATTTGACTGCAATGACGAAAAGTGTCAAAGTCACTAAAGATTTGTGGCAAAAATCTAAAGGCACAAAAACTTAATCAAAACTTAAAAATGTAAAAGTTTTCACTTCGAGGACTAAAAATGTCAAATTCATCAAACATTTGTGGCAAAAACCTAAAGCAAAAAAGATTACCATTCATAAGGTCGCTTGGATTTAATATATACTAGTAAAGAACCCGCGGCTATGCCGCTTTTGGGGTAATATGGAAAAAATCGGCAAACTTTAAAAGATATGTGCTGAAATTGTAAATCACCATAAATAGGGAAGAAAGTCGACAACTCCTAAAATTAGATGTCAAAAGTGTACAACGAAAAAAAGGGACACTGGTGGAGAAAATCCAAAATGTTGTGACAATAATATTAAAGTTGTTAACGTTGGGAAAATATGTTGGCAAAATTTTAAAGGAGGTTTTTTTGTGTTTTTTATGTTAAAATGTAAAACTTTTGACTACAAGAACAAAAAGTGTCAAATTCATTAAAGAATTGTGGCAAAAACACCAAAATGTAATACCTTTGAATATAAGGACTAAAAGTGTCAAAGTCATTAAAGATTTGTGGCAAAAACCTTAAGGCACAAAAACTTAATCAAAAGGCAAAAAATGTTAAAATTTTGACTTTAGGGACTAAAAGTGTCAAGTTCAGCAAACTTATGTGGCAAAATCCTAAAGGCTAAAAGAATACTATTCCTAAGCTCCTTTGAATTTAATATATACTAGTAAAGAACCCGCGGCTACGCCGCTTTTGGGGTAATATGGAAAAAATCGGCAAACTTTAAAAAATATGTGCTGAAATTGTAAATCACCATAAATAGGTGAGAAAGTCGACAACCCCTAAAATTAGATTTCAAAAGTGTACAACGAAAAGAAGGGACATTGGTGGAGAAAATCCAAAAATGTTGTGGCAATAATGTTAAAGTTGTCAAAGTTGGGAAAATATGGTGACAATTTTAAAGGAAGTTTTCTGTGATTTTTATATCAAAATGTAAAAGTTTTGACTACAAGGACGAAAAGTGTCAAATTCATTAAAGATTTGTGGCAAAAACACCAAAATGTAAAACCTTTGACTGCAAGGACTAAAAGTGTCAAAGTCATTAAAGATTTGTGGCAAAAACCTTAAGGCACAAAAACTTAATTAAAAGGCAAAAATGTAAAAATTTTGACTTTAGGGACTAAAAGTGTCAAATTCAGTAAACTTTTGTGGCAAAAACCTAAAGCCTAAAAATGTACTATTCCTAAGCTCCTTTGGATTTAATATATACTAGTAAAGAACCCGCGGCTATGCCGCTTTTGGGGTATTATGGGAAAAATCGGCAAATTTTAATAGATATGTGTTGAAATTGTAATCACCACAAATAGAGGAGTAAGTTGACACCCCCTAAAATTTGTACAACCAAAAAAAGGGACATTGGTGGATAAAATCCAAGAGTGTTGTGACAATAATGTTAAAGTTGTCAAAGTTGAGAAAATATGGTGGCAAAATTCAAAATGAGGTTTTTTGTGTTTTTTATGTCAAAATGTAAAAGTTTTGACTACAAGGACGAAAAGTGTCAAATTCGTTAAAGATTTGTGGCAAAAACACCAAAATGTAAAACTTTTCACTGCAAGGACTAAAAATGTCAAAGTCACTAAAGATTTGTGGCAAAAACCTAAAGACACAAAAACTTAATCAAAACATAAAAATGTAAAAGTTTTGACTTTAGGGACTAAAAGTGTCAAATTCACTAAATTCTTGTGGCAAAAACCTAAAGGTAAAAAAAGTACTATAGAGACTATCTCTGTAATTATTTTTGTGACCATTTCTGTAAGTAATTTTTGCAGGGACCATTTATGTAATTCTTAATGTATTCTATAGACCGTTTTTGTAACTTTGTAAATCTTACATGGACCATCTTTGTAACTATTTCATATAGTGACCACTTTTCTAAATCTTAGTTTTTTCCATGGACTATTTCTATAAGTTTGTGATCAAGTAGATATATTTTTGTAATTTTTTTTTTTGAAAAATAGATGCCTCCTTATTGTAATATCGTTATTACATATGAAGTGTTTTTGTAATTATTTCTTACAACAATCATTTATGTAACTAATTCTTATAAGGACCATTTCTGGAATTCTTAATTTCTTCTAGGGACTGTTTTTGTAGCTTTGTAAATCTTATTGGGACTATTTTTGTAGCTTTGTAATTCTCATAGGGACTATTTCTATAAGTATTTCGTATAGGGACCGTTTCTGTAAATCTTAATTTTTACAAGTGACCATTTCTGTAGTAATGTTTCAATGATAAATTGTCGGAAATAACATAATTTGCTTTTCCTTATCGACGGGTAATAATTAATATATGTAGATCCATACACATTATAAACACGTTGCTATTACAAGTAAGAAATATACATTACATAGTTTAAATATTTTTATTAATCGAGTATGAAAAGACATTTATTATCTTCTAAGACACCTTATCGACTTACATCTAACCTAATGGATGCTCGAGCCTAGAAATTGGGGCAAGTCAGGTGTCTGTTTAGGTCCCACATGATATTTTGTTGCCCCAATTGAGATAGTGTTGAGTTGTTAAGTTCGATGATAACCAACAAAACATGTAAATCTCTTAAACTCGGTCATGAATGTAACATGTTTATCCTAATCATGTGAGCCAAATAGTTCTTGCATTTTAAAAAAAGATAAGTTTTGTGTAGGAAATATAAATGCAACTTTAGCACAGTTGGGAACTAAATATTTAATTTGGTTTAAAATCAAATATAGTTCAATACATATCGATGGAAGGCAAACGCGCAACAAGCTGTGCCGCTAGCTCTTTCTGGATGACAAAACTAATTCTATTGAAAACAACATCTGTGGATCTAGGAGATATAACATTAGAATGCATGACCTGTTGAACTCTGTTGATGAGCTTCACCGCCTCTGGCGCTAGAAAACCAAACGTATCAAATGCAAAAGGTACAAACACATGTTGATTTTCTATACATGCATTCTCGTGCTTTGCCACTTTGCACGCAACGACTTTCACAGCGGCATGCCCTGCTGTGAAACCCCCACTCCTCAAACCGACGAGAGGAGAGACCCTTGGGTCTGAGTGTGGATCTTCCATCCTGTGGGTCTGAGTGTGGATCTTCCATCCTGTGGGTCTGTCAAAAAGTTTACTGACACTTCTTTCTTCATAGAAATACCAGCACGCCGACAAGCATCAAAGAGAACATCCCTAACCACATCATGTCGGTACTTGAAACCAGTGAGCTCCCTACAATGAACCACATGTTCCCCAAAAGTGTTCAAACATGCCTTGTGGTGAACTGAACATATCTCGTCAATTGGGAATAGAGGAATAATGAGGCGGTAACGAATGATAGTTCGGTACTCCACATGAGACATGCTGGCCGAGACCATCAATAGGGATAGTTAGCAGAAAATCCTGAGCAAGAGGCGCCCAAAGACACTCAAAAACTGTTTTTTGTCTAACAGGCGATCAACCTTTGCATATTTGAATAACAAAAATCAAGATTTAACAAAATATTCTATGTTAAACATTTTACAAAATCTATATATCCTTAAGCCTTTATATTCATCATATATATATAAACATTTTACAAAATCTATATATCCTTAAGCCTTTATATTCATCATATATATAGATTCATAAGACATATATGTGCCTTTTACTTTCGTTTTGCTTTATCATTTTGTTTCCCACTTAATTTTTTTTTAAAGTCTCATCTCCCATATAAATCAGATTTTTAAACCCCCCCCCCCCCCCCCCCTTCCCTTTTCAGTAACTTATTTCCCCTTCAAAAATAAAACACTTAAAATAATTAAAAAAGTTATAAATTTTTGATTGAAAATCTATACTATCTAATACATAAAAATACTTGTGACACATGTCATTTTTTAAGAGTATTAATTCAAAATTTTATCATTTATTCCAATGTTGACACGTGATAGTCTCATATATTTTTCTCTATTAATTCAGTTTTTTAAATTAAACTAAATCAAGATTTGTATAAATTTAAATTTTGAATTTTGAATTAAGTTATTTGAGATTTTTCTCTATTATATGGATTTTAATAAGCTATTTAGAATACTTATTTTATTATTATATCTAAAATTTATAAACTTTATTTTACTCACATATATTATGAGAAAATGTAAATAATCTCAAATCTGTTCTAATAAATAAAAATATTTTTTTACCACATGTCACATTTTTATTCATTCTGCCACATGTAATTTTGTGATTATAAAAATTAAACTTTTTCCACATGTCATTTTATGGTTTTTTATTTTATTTTATTAAATTATACATAGTATTTAAATGTAATAATTGTAATAAAATATATATCAATTTCATTAATGCAATTTTCTTTTTAATTTCAAAATTCCTAAATTAAAACCAAATTATTTCTTTTGTTTATTTATTTAAATTATTTGTTTAAATTTACAAGATAAATGAGCATTTAAAAATTTTAAATTTTAATAGTTTTTTTTTTATTTTTTTATAAATTCAAACTTCTAAATGTTTAGACTTTCATAATATAAATTTTTTTTAATAAATTTGTGTAGTAAGTTGTATTATTTTACTATAATATTTTTAAAGTCTCATTTATTAAAATACAATATCATCTTATATTGATAATCATTTTTAATATAGTTTAATATTGAATTTTTTATTTTTTGATTTTTATTAAGTTACTTCCATTGTTTTATCTTATAAACCGTGATGTCCAAGAGTCTTTAACCAGTAAAATAATAAAAAACGAATGAGAAAGTTTCTATTATAAAACATCAAATCAATAGAAGTCTAGCCCATTGGATTTAGAGGAGGCCCAAATCAACATTATCTGCTTCTTCCTCTCTTTGGCCCCTTTCAATCTCCATTGCAGTTTGCAGTTGCTCCTTGCCACCACCCACCTACAAATCCTGAAAGTCAATTACCGGTTGAACGACAGCTTATCTGATTTTAGTTCTCCCTCCTTTTGGTTAAAGATTAATCATTTCTCCCCTCTTTCTTCTTTCCCCACATTATTCGCCGGAAGGTAAGCTTAATAATCGCATGGTAGCTCTTATGTCGATTATTATGTTTCTCAATGGATTATGCGTTACTTTTTTCAATTAATCATTTCTATACAATATGATCCGAGAACGAATTTGACTTTTATTTGAAACAAATTCTTATAGGCAAATGTGATGCCCTAATTTTTTATACCTTCGTTGTCTCTATCTTTCCGTAACTATTACGTCTCTTATCTTGGATCTGAACGGAGTGGTATGGCATCTTGTGGGGTTTCCATTTTATTTGAAATTCAACTCAATATAACCAGATGACGAGCTTTATTGACATCCCTTCTTGGTTTTGATTTTGACTTGGGATGTTATTTGGGGGAGATGATCAATTTATTCAAAATGTTTAATGTTTTGAATGATGTCTGAAAGCTATTTTTGGTTGCAGGACTTGGGGTTTTGCAGTTGACATACAGAATTTCAACTCCGTGATCGTTGTGGATGATGAGAAACGGAACCCCTCCCTTTGAAGGGCATTCATCATCAGATCATATTCAGGCTCCAAGTGTCGGTGAATGTTCTAGCTCAACTTCATTAAGCAGTCAGCAGGATGTTGATGTTGATGATGATGGGATGATTGCTGTTGTATTGTCTGAAGAGTATGCTAAATTAGATGGTTCAGTTGGTCGCCGCCTTACCAACCTGGAACCAGTTCGGGTATGATGAATTGATGATTCAGAGGTCAAAGCTTCTGATTGACCAAGTCGTTTATTTGAAGTTTTGAACACTGCTTCTTATATAATTTTATTTTCCTTGAAAATTTCAGCACATCCCAAGGATTAATTCCTTCATTCCTAATATAAGTGATGCCAGTTTGGATCATCAACGATTGAGTCAGAGGTATGCATTTATTTTGGTTGCTTTGTATTTGTAAATTAATCATCAATGTTTATTATAAATAATATTAGATATTAGTTTTACTTCTATTACTGCTGGGTGTGGATACTGGAGTGGATAGGGATGCATAGCCATCAATGGCGTTTTTTTCATTTCTTTTAAAGATTCACCAGGTGTTGAGAGGAAGTAGAAGAGAAGCTCTTAGGAAAAAATAACCAAAACAAGTGTAAAGATTTTGAGCTTCACACCTAGATTACATAGGATATTTTGAACATCTCACCTAGGTAGTATGTGCTTCCTTCCCTTTTGTTGATTTTCAACGAGCTTTTATTATGTTTATTTTTTATTTTTTATTTTGTAAATAAAAAATGTATTAGCTATTATTAAATAATGTATGAGTTAAACTATTCATTAATATAAAAAGTTTATATAGGAAGTTCATTACATTCATACAAACCAACCAAACATGGTCACGGAATGTAATTAGTGATCATGCCATTACATTGCTTATTTCATTCCTTTATAATTTTCCATTTGGATCGTCTGTGTTTATCTTTGTTCAGGTTACACGTTTATGGTTTATATGAAGTTAGGGTCTCTGGTGACGGAAATTGCCAGGTGGGTGTGTGTCTATTTTTTTTTTTTTTTAATATATTATATTGTTATCCTTGATTATTTATATTTAATTTGTTTTTCCATGTATTTCAGTTCCGTGCAGTTTCAGACCAGCTTTACAGGTCACCTGAGTATCACAAACATGTCCGAAAGGAGGTTGTGAAGCAGGTTAGTTCTTCTGTACTAATTGTCACTTAAAATGTGACTTAAAATGAGTTTTCTGATTTCTGCTAGTGCTAATGATGTGATGTTGTGACAGCTGAAGGAGTGTCGTGCTCTATATGAAGGCTATGTTCCAATGAAATACAAGAAATATTGCAAAAAAATATCCAAGTAGGATACCTCATACGCGGTCAAGTCACTTCACTTCACTTCTCTTATGCATGCATGTTTTATATTGCAATGCCAATAATAATGATATAATGCTTCTTTTATAGCAATATGTTTTTGGTACTAAATCATCATATTCAATTATTCATGGCACTTACAGAACAGGTGAATGGGGGGATCACGTTACTCTACAAGCAGCTGCTGATAGGGTCTCTACTCTCTACTCTCTACCATTTATATATATATTACTATATGTTCAGATTATTTGTTAGATTTGCTGATGATTTTCTCTATACATGTAGTTTGCTGCAAAGATATGCCTTTTGACTTCATTCAGATACACCTGTTTTATAGAAATTACTCCACAGCAACAAACGCCTCAGCGAGGTATTACATTCATCACACATCAACTTTTTATTTTCTTTAAAATTTGTCTGATTTTTTTTTTAATATAAACAGAATTGTGGCTAAGCTTTTGGTCTGAAGTACACTACAACTCACTCTATGAAATTCGAGGTCCACTCTCTTTGCTTTTTTTTGCTTTTATAATTTGGGAAGAATCCAAAAATTACAAAGTACAATGCTATAATTGATTATGGTTTCTCATTTTGCAGAAGCTGTGGTGCAGCATAAGCCAAGGAAGAAGCACTGGTTGTTTTAAGGACACAACTCATAGCATCCAAGATAGGAGACTCTCAACATTTGTTTAAATTTACTTTTATTTTTTTATCTGAATGTAATAGCATAATACCCCACATATATGTTCATCTATATACACCACCAATAAACAAATGTCGAATTATTGTAAGAATTGTAATGCATTTGTTATATAAAACCCTATATAGCTTTGAGATATCTGCTTTTTGTATTCCGTTTGTAACTACATAACATTGATTAATAATCTCATTAAGACGTTTTTTTTTTTTTTTTTTTTTGCTTTTTATGTTGTTGGTATGAGAAAATTTGGACTAGAAAAGCAAATACTATGCAGATTAGAAAACGAACAACAGTTAATTGGGAAAAATAGGAGAAAAAGCAACTGTCAATGTATTCTCGAAAGAAAAGCTATATAGAGAAGTAGTCAATCTAAAAATCATTAGAACCAAACAACACGAAGCTACAATAACACCAAACTGTTGATACACAATCATACCCTCAGAATCTGAAGCTTGGATGCAAAAGCAATGGCAACCCAATCAGGTTGAGAAGATGACCACTGCAACTGTTCTATTTCAGCACCAGCAGTGTAAGCCAAAATGGGATCCAATCCACCTTCAACAGGTTGACCCATGGAAGAGAGATCCCAGATGAGAGCCTGAGAATCATCACCGGCGGTACAGATATGGCAGGAGCTGTGTGGAGCCCAGGCAATGGCGTTGACGCTGGCCTGGTGCCTTTGCAGTTCCACCACCGGAAGTGTTGGAAAACGAATGTCGAGAACAACCACCTTGGCGCTGTCCATTATAATGGTGGCCATGTACCTAGGGTCCTGCTTGTTCCAGCCAAGACGTACAAGCGGTGTGTCAGGCTCGGAGCTCTCATATATGATCGTAGAATGCTCCTTATCTCGGAGATCGAATACTCGCACGGAACCATCGGCGGAGACGGATGCAAAAACACCGACGCCGCCCCATGCGATGTCGTAAACCTCCTTATCGTGAGCGATGAGCTGCGTGTCGACGGTCTCCCTCTCAATATCCCAAATCGTACAGGTAGTATCGATACTGGATGTTCCTATACGCTTGGGCTCCGCCTCGTTCCAATCAAAGGACGTCACCGGACCACAGAATTCGCTGTTGCGATTGTTGTTGAGCAGACTCTTCATCTCCACCCGACGAGAGTTGCCAGTGCCATTGTGAGTATTGTCGTCTTCGCCGCCATCGTCGTCTTCGGAGATTCGCCAAATGCGGAGGAAATCGCTGGAAGTGGCGAGGAGGTCAGGCTTCTGGCACTCCTTGTCAGGGATGAAGATGACCTTGGTAGGCGGGTATGGGTGTTCGAATGAGAGCGTGGGGTCGGATCGAATCTCTCCGTTGGAATCATCGAGCTGGACAATTTCAACACGATTTGGATACTGTTCAAGAAGGCTGGCGATGGCAAGACGATACTTCTTGTCACGGCGAACGCTCCAGTTCATCGCGTAGATATGCCATGGCGCCTCATACGTGTAGATCTCAGAACGTCTCTGTTGCTCGTCTGATCCATCTTGGTTGGGATCGCTATTGGCTCCCATGGTTACTCCGATTCTTCTTCCTCACCAACTTTAAACCTAAATCGGAATTTGGGATCGGGATAATCCCCTATCTGCAATTTTTGGATGCTACTTTTACGAGTAAAGCTAAAGGCCTAAAATCCATGGTTATAATTTATAGTGCTACGTAACATTAAAAAAAAACATTATTTTTATATCATTTTAATCATCTAATTTTAATTTATGTTAGAAAAAATGATTACTTTTAGATAAACTTTTACTGCGACTATAATACCCTCGGTTTTATATTTCTTGTTCTAAAACGAAAATCCATATATTTAAAAAAGATAAAACCGTCAAAATGTCCTTTTGTGGAATACATTTTTTATGAGGTTTAGCCCAAACCTTGATTTTTTTTGGCTTTGTGGTCTTTATAAGTTAGTTTCATTGCAAATTCAATCTGTCAGTAAACTGAAATGACTGTAATACCATTGGGGTATTTATTTTTTGTTTTTCTTTCACTTTTTAAATCTAATACTTATTTATTTATTTAAACAATTAAAAAATAATAGGTCTCTCTCTCATACACAAGAACATATCGATTTTGTAACTCACAAGAACACATATGCAACCGATTTCTTGATTTCTTTTGAAAATCCCTTTTTTGGACCTCCGATTTTGCTCTGTACCTCAACACCAGATTTCATCTCCTTCCATAGAGCCCCGATGAACAGAAATCTGTTCAAAACTCGATTTCATAAGTTCAAGCCTTCTAGTTAAAAAATCAATTCAAAGCGCGCACACACATGATGATCTATATACATATGGGTTTCTTTTTAGATGCCAAACCTTTGATTTAGTTGCTAGTTCTCTAAGGGTTCTAAAATTTTTTTGTTGTTATGCCATCAGTTCTTGATCTATATACACCTGCTCAAATAGAAAAAGGCATGTCTAGGGCGATTAATAAAGATTAGCGACGAGGAATTCCAATCCTTGACCTAGACGTGAGTATCAAGAATGTCGATCCTCCCAAAAGAGAATGTCGAGCAGCCCAAGGCATCTGAGATTTTTAGTTTCATCTATTCCATCTCAAACTCGTAAAAAAGAACCCACCAATTTTGATTGTTCTTTGAGCAATTGATGAAAGAGTACAACCACCAAAGAACCCATGTTGCATATTTGTACGTCTTCTTTATCCCTAACTTTTTGCATCTTCTTTCTATCCAATTCCACCCACTGTTGTGAATCCTAAACGCTAGGTTCTCCCCATCTATAAATCTTAAACCTAAACATGTAAATCTGATGGAGTCTGATTCACTTTAACTGATTTCTCTCATTTTTCTTCGGTCAAAAGACTCATCACCATCACAACAAAAATGATAGAGAGAGAAAGAGGGCATAATAATAGTTAATAATACCCCTCTCCCCTAAAATCAAAGTTTTTCACGTCCTATTCAAGGCTTTCAAAGGTTTAAATCATCAAACCAATAGCAGAACAGTTAATAATAAACAATTAGACCTCACAAAGATCTATATACTTTTTTAAAGTAGCTTCACAGATAAAAGAATCAAAAAGGGAATTTTCGAATAAATTATGGAAATCAAAGAGACACTGGTTGGAAGAACATGTAGAGAGAGATTTGAGTCTTCAAAGATCGACAATTAATCGAGAGAGATAGAGAGAGAGAGAGAGAGACCCTCTTATTTTTTAATTGTTTAAATAAATAAATAAGTATTAGATTTTAAAAAATGAAAAAAATAGAAAATAAATACCTCAAGGGTATTACAGTCATTTCACTTTACCGAGAGACCAAATCCGCAACGAAACTAGATCAAAAGGACCATAAAGCCAAAAAAGTTTAGGTTTGGACTAAACCTCAGAAAAAATGCATACCACAGGGACCATTTTTGCAGTTTCGTTGTAACATCCCGATTCCCAGGTATGATAAATTTTTATTAAAAAGGCAATTTTTCCTTGGAACTCGTCGAGTTGATGGCCTCAACTCGACGTGTTGAAAGTCTTTGGGCCGCGCATATTTTTGGACCAACTCGACGAGTTGGTGGCTGATTAAGAAACCCTAATTTTTAGGGTGTTGCACCCTATTTAAAGGTCTGATACTGTAACGCCCGCAGATTCGGGCTAGTCAATTTAGAGACAATGAGCGTCAAAAATGACTTTTTGATGGAAGATTATTTAGAAGGAGTAATCTTAACCAAGTTATAGTATATGTCACAAGGGTTCCGTACATATAAAGAACGTCGAAATCCGGTTTACGGCAAAACCGGCACGACACCGGGAATCGTAAAAAGTTGTAACGCCCCGTTCCTGGTACGTATTTAATTTGATTAAATGTTTCTTTTTGTAAGAGCTACTCGGCGAGTTGTAACCCTAACTCACCGAGTAGATGTCGAATTGGACGCGGGCTTTAAGTGATCTACTCGGCGAGTCCACGCCTGGACTCGGCGAGTAGGCCAGTCAGGAGGAAACCCTAATCCTTAGGGTTTGCACCCTATTTAAACGTCCTTATAGCCCCATCTCAGCCTCCATCACCCTCAGAGCATTCCTTATCTAAACCCTAGTCTCCATTGGTGAGTTTGAGTGATTGTTGCCTGGTGAAGGGACTTTTGGTGCACATTGGAGCAAGTGGAAGAAGGAAGGGGTTGAAGAGCTCAAGGAAGGGGACTTAGATCCAGAACACATTCATTTGTGGTCACCCATTCTGGTAATAAAGTTTCCATCTTGATTATTGATCTATTAGATCTTGTTTGTCCCTAAATTGTTGCTTTTAAGCCCTAAAACCCCAAATCCTTGGTAGAGAAACCTTATGGTTGGGCTATACTTCAGATCTGGACCCTCATTACCTTCTAGAGTTGTAAAGTCTCAGTTATGTTCGTGATTGAGGTCCCTCTTGAGCTTAGAACCCCATTAAGAGCTTAGTTTTGACATTTGGAGCCCTTAAAGCTATGCATGCATGTAAAGTTTGCAACTTTACGTGATAAGCATGCCCTAGAAGCCTAGATCTGTGGTTTGGAGCCGCTGCATGGCTCAAACCAGGTCTGTATGGAAAAAGGACTGAATGAACTCGGCGAGTAGAACGCTGGACTCGGCGAGTCCTATGAACATAGCCGTGAACTCGGCGAGTTGGTTGAGCAACTCGGCGAGTTCGTTGAAGATTGCCTTGAACTCGGCGAGTTGTTAGAAGACTCAGCGAGTTGGCTAGGGTTTCTTCCAAATCTTGGCCACGTATGAACTCGACGAGTTAAAAAGGGAACTCGACGAGCCAATCAAGGATTTCACGACTTCTCGAGTTCAGGAAGGACTCGACGAGTCGGTGATCTGCACTCGACGAGTCGAGTCAACATAGACTGTTGACTTTGACTGTGGACTTTGACTTGGACCAAGGGTTGACCAGTTGACTTCTGATGGTTTCTGGTAATTGGGAGATTTATGAAAAAGGTTTGTATGGTACCTATAGGTGGTGGAGTTCGTGTTGGACCCAGGAGTTGAGCCTTCTTATTTCCGACGACAGTTGCGAGGTGAGTTATCCTCACTATACTAAGGGGTCTAAGGCACCAAGGCCGGCCCATTGGATATGATATCCTAGTAGTTGTATTATGTTGAGTATGAGTTAGTTATGCATGCTAGTTTGATACGCTAGAGGGTAGGTCTGTAGGACTACCTGTGATACTGATTGATTGTCTGCATGTGCATTATCTGTTACATGTTGATATGTTATGTGGGATGGGTTGAGGTTGTACTGCTCCGTGCGGTAGCCAACAAACCCTAGAGTATTCCAGATATGAGCTGAGGGCCCGATAGGCATTCCAGACTCATACTGAGGACTTGGGAGCATTCCAGATACGAGCTGAGGGCCCGGTAGGCATTCCAGACTCGTACTGAGGGCTCGGTGGCATTCCAGATACGAGCTGAGGGCCCGGTAGGCATTCCAGACTCGTACTGAGGGCTCGGTGGCAATCCAGATGTGAGCTGAGGGCCCGGTAGGCATTCCAGACTCACACTGTGGGCCCAGGGGTATTCCAGTCTGTAAAGCTGTGGACCCGTTATGTGCTGTTCTGCTCAGTTTGTTATGATATGTCATGGTGTGACATGGTTATGTGGACTGTATGTGTATCGGTATTTTGGGGGTAACTCACTAAGCTTTCGGGCTTACAGTTTCAGTTTATTGTTTCAGGTACATCAGGGGATCGCGGCAAGGCGAAGGCATGATCGTACAGCTCCTCCTATTATGTTATGTTTCTGGGAAAACTCTGATATAAATGTATTTTGAAAACAAAGTTGTAATGTTTTGATAAATTCGACATGTTTTGAAAGTTTAAATTTGGCTTGAATTTTTGGGTGTTACAAGTTGGTATCAGAGCCTTGGTTTGAGTGAATTGGAGGAACACTCGTGTGACTCCAGTCTCAAATCAAGGAAAGGATTTTCAAAATGATTTTTCAAAAAGGTTTTCAAAATAAATAAAGGAGGATGCAGGGCGTACGATCAGCCGGAGCCAGTAAGTAGACCCCAAAATACCATACAAGTTATTTGATTATACGATATGATAGAACAGCATGTTAGTGCTAGGCTAGGGATCTTCAGGAATTGCATGATAGAATTGCCTGAATACATGATGCCTGCTAGCCTAGGGTTTCCTTTATGTGAGATTGACATCATTACTGTAGTTGTCTAATGTATGCATCCCAGTTGTACATAATTAAGATCTTATAGCCTGAGAATGTTTGATTTGGCCTTATGTTCTGTTCTTGTTTGATTGGGGGCTTGGGGTAGGATTGGATATTCTAAAGTCTATAGGGTCCAGCGTTATGCATGGCTAGCATACATTAGTGCTGCAGGGTTGGTGGAAGTTTCATGGATAGGAGGGATTGAGTGAGACCGGGAGGTCAGTTATAAGATATTTAGCATTCCTCTAGGAGTGAGGATTGAGCGCTCGCCATGTTGTGCATATTGTTAGGGTGTTGTGGTGATACTTGGGGCAAATATGGGTAGGTGTGGAAGGTAGTAGGGGCCCATGCTACTGAA